CTACCTCTTTCTTGCTTTCCTTCCTTCTTTTTTCTTTCACTCTCTCTTTCTTTTAAAAAATATTTAATCTCTCTCTTTAAAAATATGCTAACAATTTAAAGGGCAGTCTATAGATAGATGACAGAATTCATTGGATGTATTCATCAAAGGAAACTTGTTTCAACTTTGCCCATGCTTTATTTTCATTCTCTTTGTAGTTGAGCCATGGGTCATTCTAGCTGAAGTGGTAATCTTTATAATTTAAGAAGAGAAAAAAAATCAGTCTGCTGTTGAGGTAGAAATAGTGCTTATTACCTAAATTGTCTATTTGACAGAATTTATTAGATAATTGGTCAGTTCCTAATGTTCATATCACTGGCAAGGTACATGTGAATTATGTGATTTGAGGAATAAACTTTTTTTGTAATTCATGAAAAGATAAGAAAATTGTAATAATTTAAATCACTTACCAAATTTAAAGATAAACTATTAGTTTTTATTTGCCTACTTAGAGAAATTCTAAGACATAATTCAACCTGTTCTTTTCTCATTAAATGTAATATGGAGTATGATTGCTTTCTTTTTTAATTCCTGGACTTTAAATTAAAATGTTCCTTCATCCCTTGTGAAACTGCATTTGTTTATTCTCATTTCCTTAAAAAAAATCAATTCTTCATTTTTTATTAGCTGAAGACTTCACAATTTTAGTCTGTATGACTCAGATATTGCTATGTAATATTAATTGCTTTGCTGCAAAATAAGAGATCAAACTTTCTAAAAGAAGCCCTAAATGGCAGGCATGACTTTTCTAATATGCACAAAGTCTTTTTAAAACTTCAGGGTGAGTGGGCTGGGATGGGAGTAAAAGACAGAAAACTGTACTTGACCAACAATTAAAATAAAAAATAATAAAGAAGAAAATCTTCAGACTGATTAGATATAAATATTTTACATTAAAATTATAATTTGATATTTATGTACATACCTTTAATGACAGTCATCTTATTCTGACCCAGAGCTAGTAGAATTATGGCATAACACTTGATGATAACTCTCAAATTTCACTTCGCAAATTCAAAAGTATTCTCCTTTTTTGACAATATCCTCACCGTAGAATTTTCTGTTGTAAAGTTGAACAAAATTACAGTTTGCTAACTTCAGGAAATGCTTGAGACATTTTCTGAAGAAACTCGATTTCTTAGTAGTGTGGTAATTTATCCTGTTAAAACTTAGATTTAAAATATTTAATTGTTTATTGTTTTATCACATTTTGAAGTTTTATACTTGATATTTATTTCCCTGATACAACTATCTTAAAAAATGAAATTTTAAAATGGTACAAGCTTGTGTAAATATTACTGAAATAGCAATTGTACTATGTAGCCAAAATGTTTTGAATAAAAGTTTTAGAAGAAAAATCCAAAACACTTAGGCAAAACCATAAGTATGAATTTGCTAAGTATTTTAGATAACATTGTATCATTGATTTTCATTCCTTGGTTCTAGTTTCTTGAATGTAACTAGCATTTCACTTTCCTCACATATTAAGGCACAATTTCATTTAAATAAATTTGAGTTTAATCTAAAAGTCCATATGTTAAAGATAGTCTATATTATGTGAAGAGGGAAAAGGCTCTATTTGGTTATATTAATTATTACAGCAATCACCATTTAGAAATTAGATTATATGTTTAATTTGAAAATAAGAGCTTTGTCATCCCCTCTGAATACGTGATGTGGTCTGTTTGATAACACAGGTGACAGAAGACTCAATTTGAAACCACTGAACTCTGTGATCATGACTGTGCAAACCTTGACCATTCAGATTCCAAGTCTTACTCTTTGCCTTACCAAGATATTTAGTAAAATAAAAGAATGTATATAGATGTTATAAACTTCACTGAAATAATTTTGACCTATACACTCAGATGTCCTATATAACTTGGTTAAATATTCCCTCCAATTATTGATTTGTAGTTAAAATAACTTTAAAAGAGTAAATTTTATTTTTATTAATATTTACTTCAAGGCTTTAAGATCACTAACCATCAAAGATTCAGTATGGGGGGTGGGCAGAGAAAAATGGTTTCTTGTGTATAGGTAATTTTCAAGCATTTTTAGCTTTCTTTTCTCTGGAAAATGAGCAGGTATTCCATGGACAGGAATAAAAAAGAACCCCACTAGAACAAATAGTTTATATGCTAGGTAAATCTTCTTGATGTCTCATGCATCCTTAAGCATATTGGCTTTTTTCCCCCGCCCCATGGATATTCAACAGACTCTTCCATCTAAAGGAATACTTTTCTTCAGCTTTATCTGCACAAAAGCAAAAGTACTTATACTATCTAAAACAATACAAGAGACATTTTACTTAATAAAACTAACAAAAATACCAATGAGGCCTTTGGGAAAAACTGAGAACATAGATCCTATAATTGTACTCCCAGTGCAGAAGCCAATATTAAATTGGTTTCAACAAAACAAAACAAAAAAACAGTTCCAAGGATACAATATATTTTAAAATATTGTTTAAAATAATACTTCCTAATTCTTTGAGTAACTTCTAGATTTTCAAAAAGAAAAACAAATTTATCAGCATTGTCCATCTTGATATGTGCAGTGTAAAAGGAAAAATTTATTAAAATAAGAATGTTTAAATATCTATTTTGTTATTTTCAGCTGTGGGTGACTGTTATTTTTAAAGGCTCTTTGAGGCCAAATTTAGGCTATTAACTTTAAGTCCACAGAATTTTAAACATTCTAGTGAACGCTCCAATGTGGTTTTCAGTAATTAAAACACAAATTTTAAATAGTTTTTTCTTCACACATTTAGAATGTGTTAGTACTTAGTTTTTCTAACAATGTAAAATATACTCATTTTGTTGCTGAAACCAAGAGAGTCTACATCTGGATAATCATGCCATTTTGAGTATCATACTTCAATGTATTTCAATGGCTAAACTGTCAAAGAAACATATGTTCTGTCTGCATTGAAATAAATACTTAATCCTGTGCCTCCTTCAAAGGAAGTTGAAATAAATGTACCTAGAGTAGAAGAATTCAGTTTTTCTAGCATCAAGAAATATTATGGTTAAAATTTTTGTGAGAGCAGGAAACGTACCCATCACTTGGGCCTAACACATAAATATATTGAGGCAGAAGAAGACAAATGCCCTACAAAAGAAAGTAATTACATCTGTACAAGAGAGTAACATAACAGCTATTAGGGACATAATCCTTGTGAATTTTCTAATTTTTATGCCCACAAACTCACAACCATTTAATTGTATTTCCTTCCCTCTTAAAAATTTTTTTAAAAATCTACACTCAAGCATTAATGTTTTCTTTTTCAACACCAAATTGAATATGATTACAATTATCAACTCAAATTTTATTACAATATTAACAATCTATGTTATGCAAGGCCATAAAATATATGTGTAATAAACACAATGAGCTTGGGTGTTGTTAATATTAACATTTACACAACTCTTCCCTGTAAAACATACCCCTTTGTAAATCAGGTATCTGGAAATTTGTCGACTGATATTTTACTACTGAGGAGAAACAAGGAGTTTAGAAAAAATAAGAGATGGGAAGAAAAGATGAACATGATTAATAGGTGTTTGTTTTATAAAGAGGCTAGGGAGACTCTAATCCTTCACTGCTCCTTCCTACGTGCTCATTGAACTGAAGAGGTAGTTCACATGCCTTTCAAAGCCTTCAAAGACTTTAGTAGTTTGTTACTGATGCTAAATTATTCCACTTGCATCCTGTTGTATATGAGGTGCCTTCCATGTATTGGTGCCAGGTGAAATCTTGGCTTTATTCATAAAAAAAAACACTTTGTTTTTCAAAAAAGCAGCTAAATTATGCCTAGAAAAGTCTTTCACGTTGAGTCTATTTCAAATAACCTCTACTGAAGACTAAAACACCTTTCTAGTTCCTTACCCCTCCTCTCCACCCGTAAAAGACCGGCATTTTTACTTTTCCTTTTAAATTCTCTTGATCAAAAATGCGTAATCTACTTCGCGTTTTTTCTTTAAAGAATCACTCTTATTCTCCAACTTCGTAGAAATATAAAAAAGTTAAGCTTTATACAATATTGGAATGTTTAAAGTTATGGGTACCCCAAACAGTAACTTAGTTCTAATTAAAATTCTTGCCGTTCCTAACTGTATTTTACTAAGATTACAATTTGATACAAATATATGAAGATTCTTTGAGTAATTAAAAATGGACCCATAGAGGTACAGTAGCACAAAATATGTGTTCGCTTTTGAAAGGTACTTATTTGCAGCGGCATATACACATTTTAATAATTTTGTCAAATATCTTCGTGAATAATTTATTAACCCCTTAATCGTTTTAGTACATTACGTACACACGCGCTATACGTATTATGTATGTTACACACACGCACACCCCACGCAAGAATCAATTGCCATATTCCAGAAATGACAATGAAAAAGGAAGAACAAGAATTACATAATTAGATGTCTACAGTCTCATAAAAGGGGAATGCGGGAGTGTTAAGCAGGTGAATAAAAGAAAAGCCCCAAACTAAAAATCAGTACCCTCAAATTGGAGCTTTCCGCAGCCTGTCGCGCTGAGCAGGGAAGGCGTATTTTCAAGGAAGTGGGGTGGGAGGGATTCTGACACCTTTCACCACATCCCAAGGGGGTCCCCCTCAGGGAAGACGGCCGCGCAGTGCCGCACGAGATGGTGACAGTACCAGGTGAGCACGAAGGGGAAGAGAATGCACTGAATGTGTCCACAAAGCACGCGGGGCCGCCCCTCTTGCTCAGGACTGGCAGCTCTGCCGACCGGCGCAGAAGGAAGCGGCAGCCGACAAGAGGGCGCGGGTCGCGAGAGGTGAGCCGCTAGGGGCGAGGGCAGGGCGGCTTGGGGCGAGGGTAAAGCCGCGGGCAGGGGAGGCTCTGGGCCGGGAGGCCCACAGCCAGCGCCGCCGCCTGGAGCCGCGTGCGCGCGCGGCCGCATCAGCTGAGAGCGCGGCGCGTATCACGTGGTGCGGGTGTCGAAGGTCATAGCGCGCTCACAATGGAGCTCTCGGAGTATGTGCAGAAAGGCTTCCAGATGCTGGCTGATCCCGGCTCTTTTGACTCCAACGCCTTCACGCTTCTCCTCCGGGCGGCTTTCCAGAGCCTGCTGGACGCCCAGGCGGACGAGGCCGTGTTAGGTAAGCCGCTCGGCTCTGAGCTGGATCGGCCTGGGTGGAGGGGCATTCAGAAAGCTGCGAGACCAAGCGAGAGGGGTAAAACCCCCGGGAAGAGGAAGTCTCCGGGCTTTGCCCTTTGCTCCGGACTGCTGAGTGTGGGGTTGTGGCTCTGCCAGAACCCAGAGCGGAACCTGAACGTTGTTCTATCTCCTGTTGGCACCTGCACACAGCCGGCTACACGCTCCTGGCCTGATTACCCCCACCCAGGCTTTTTGTTTCTTTCTAAAGCCCGAGTTTTAAGTCTTGTTTGTGGCCTAAACATCTAAGGTTTTTAGCCTGGTATGGGAAAAGGGCTATTTGACACTTGGATTTCATCAGGCGAGCTGGGCTCCCTGGCAATTCAAGCATTTAGTGCTAGGCTGGCAAAGGTTTTAAAGGGTCTGTTTCCAGAGTAATTACTAGGGCAAAGAGTGTTGATATTTTACAATTAAGAGTAATACCTCAAGTTTCTACGATCACTCCAACACTTAAGTATGTATTACACCTAGAACGTTAAGATATGGTGCATAATGTTTTGTTCCGCACCAGTTACCAGGAGGCGAGTATCTTTTAAGTGGTGTGGTCAGTGATTGCCGAGTGGGTATATGTATGGGTTGAAGACATATTTTAAGACAGATCGCTTTTAGATAATTTTCTTAAATATAAATATCCCAGCAATTCAAATTTTTGGTTTTTTCTCCTGTGGTTTCATAAACTAAACACTTGTACAAAAAGTATGAAAGTGGAAGTTCTTCAGACGAAAATAGTAACCACCACCTGGGTAATCTCTCAAAAAAAAATAGGATGGCTGTCAAAACCTGAAAATATTTTGAAAATTATATTTAATATTCTGAACCCGTGCCCTCGCTTCCTTTGATGTATTAATGTCCATGGAGCCATTTACCCTATAATTAATCTTTAGAGGGAATGTTTATTCATTCTCAAATTTTCACTATGTAAAATATTTATGTTCTTACTTTCTAATGAATTTACTACATCCAGTGTTAGAATGAATACTGTATGGTTATATTTTCTTTGGGAACATAAATTTTTTTTAAAAAACAAAAAAATATCAAACAGTAAAATTATTGCTGTGTGCTATTGTTTTGCCACTGATGTTGTTGCTCATCTCATTTACTTATAATTGCTTGTCCTTATTAGTGGAATTATTTTTGTTCTCTTGTTAAAGGGGGGGGGTTACCCAAATTAAAATATCTATTTTAGAAAAAAGACTATAAAAATTTATTACAGGCATCACTGGCCATTTATTTTAGATCACCCAGACTTGAAACATATTGACCCAGTGGTTTTAAAACACTGTCATGCAGCAGTTGCAACTTACATACTGGAAGCAGGAAAGCAAAGAGCTGACAAATCGACTCTAAGGTACAACATTTATTTAAATTCCACTTACTAGCAAATAGTAACTTTATGACTTCAATTTTAGTTTTTAAAATGGGAACTAAACTTTGGCTTTTTTCCTTCAGCACGTATCTAGAAGACAGTAAATTTGATAGAGAGCGAACAGAACTGTTTTGCACGGAGTATCAGGTTATTTACATCAATTTTAAAAAATTAAGAATTTCTATTTTTTTCTACTGTTTGCAAATTTGTGTTTTCTTTTTTCTTTTTTGTCCTCCAGAATAATAAGGATTCCCTAGAAATCCTACTGGGAAGGTAGGTACCTTTATAAGGTGTCAAGTTGAGCTACTTTTCACTTACAGGTATGAATGGAGAGCACTGGTATGAAAGGAAACAGGGATCTTGACCAAACGAAGAGGGGCCAAAGGGCAAGTTAAACAATTAAAGTTAAGCTAATGTTTTTAAAGATAAGTTTATTGAGATAATTAAAAATGTTCATTTACTGTGCAGAACTTGAAACTGAAGTTTAGCAATATTTCAAGTTCAGAATGGATTAAAATTATGTGTGTGGGGGGAGGGGGTTAGAAGGTAGACACCATACTTAGTAAAATTACCGAAAGTTTTCTGTAGATATTATGTACAAAATTATGCTTGTGTCTTTCAGTATAGGTAGATCTCTCCCTCATATAACTGATGTTTCTTGGCGTTTGGAGTATCAGATAAAGGTAAACTTTAACTGTTCTCTAGGGTTACTTAGGAAACTTTAAAAAATACAGTTAAAGACAAATGTATTGTGTTGTTTTAGACCAGTCAACTTCATAAGATACACAGACCTGCATATTTGGTGACCTTAAATGCAGAGGTATTTATACATTAGCCCTACCTAAAAAATGTGTAATGGAATTTAATTTCCTTGATTTAAATAAACAGCACTTTTTTTCTTCTCTAGAACACTGATTCCCGATCCCATCCAGAAATTAGTTTTAGTTGCAACATGGAACAATTACAGGTACAGTATTAGGACCTGTGAATATGCCTTCCTTTTTATAGAAGTTTAACTGAGAATTAATGCTTTTAGAAAGTTCAAAAGAATAATCTAACCCATCTATCAGTAGATAATGAAGGTTGGTTAAGGATTTAATGGGAAGGGGACTTAAAAAGCAATATTTTAATGTAGGATTCACTTTTGAAATTAAAATGTTACTAATAGAGAATTGATGTATATTTATTGTTCCCTCCTATTAAACTTCTAATGTTTATTTTAATAACATTAAAGTGTTGAGTGAAAGTTCCTTGTTTGTGATCAGTTTGATCCTATAGGACAAAGCAAAGTTACAAACATGGCTTTTAAACTTACTTGCTTTCAGAAATTGAATTAAACTCTCAAAACAGGATTTTAAAACTGGTTTTAAATAACTTTTAATAAATGGGAAAGTATATGTAAAATTCCAAATGTAATACTGGGGAAATTAAAAATTACATTGCTTAGTGGACATGACAGCGAATTTATTTCTTACCACTTAAAAAATGAAGATCATTGCTTGAAATTTTGATGAAATTTAACTTTTCAAAAGACATTTCCAGAGTTGTTTTTAATGTAACCATTAATCAAACTTCAAACTTGCAGAAAATGTGAATACACAATAATCTTTGTTTAGAATAACATGGGAAATTTAACTTAGATATGTCTTTCCTGTTAGGATTTGGTTATAAATCATATTTCAAATCTGAGGGCAAGTACCCTATCTGAAGTTTAACTATTTTAGAGGAAAAGCTTTTGATGGTCTGTCAAAAGTTAATATCCTCGTGAATTTTAACTTACCAAGTGTCTCCCGACTTTTTTCTTGAATCTTTCTCAAACTTGGATACCTCTTTACCATGTTTTATCTTAGAAACTTAGCATTCTATACGTCTTTTAGGACTTAGTGGGGAAACTTAAAGATGCTTCGAAAAGCCTGGAAAGAGCAACTCAATTGTAACTTGGGGAAGTTAGCGAGCCGCCCGGGTCTAGAAGACCAGGAATTGCTTGCCGTCGGCAGAACCATCAGAACCATCGTTTGTGCGAACTGATTATACTCCTTTTTAAAAGAAAGAAAATTTTTTTGGATTTATGTCTTTCATAAACTTCGACACTTTTTTTTACATTTGTTTTAAGAGCTAAGAAGGAAATTCTGCCTATTTGAATATTAATTGTACATTGATCAATTTTTATCATTTTTTCAAGTCTTACAAAAGGCAGTATTTACATTCTGAATAAATAAGTTCCCACCAAAACTACTGAGCGTTTGTTTAGATGTGAGTTTTGTGTGTCAGTTACTCCTGTGAAGACAGAGCTATTAGCGTTAACTTTTAACGACCGCCTTTTCTCTGGATTAAAATTAAACTCAATGGGAAAGGATGCGATCTCCGGGGTTTGTTGAAGACTCCAACTTCAAGATATGGAGAGCAGACACGGTCGCTCTTCGGGAGGGAGCTGGCCCGTCCCGTTACCTGCGCCGGAGGGCTCGCCCGCAGCCGGACCCTCCCCCGCGGGTCTCCCGCGGCCCACCCGGCCGTAGCCCGCGGAAGCCCCAGGCCGGAAAGAACAGCTGCCCGTGCGCGCCCCTCATCGGCCGCTGGCGGGAGCTGGTGCGGCCGCGGGAAGACAGGGGCGGGCGCTGTTGTTTCCACGAGCCCAACTCGGGCGCAGGTTCCGCGCGGCGGTGCCTCCTGAGTCTGGGCCGCGCGGCGGGGCCGAGAGGGGCACGGGGACCAGCGCTCTTCGCAGTTCAAGCCAGGGGACTTGTGTAGCGCGGGCGGCGGCGTATGGCAGAGAAAAAGAAATAACGGAGGGGGTGGGGTGGGCTGATCTGCGAGCAGAGCCGGAGCGATGCCGGCGTCGAGAACCGGGTAGCGCGTGTGGCGTCGTGGAGAAACGACTCCGCCGGCGCACAGAGCGAGTGGGAGGGGGTCGGGTCGCGCTGCTCCGAGGGGAGGGGGCAGCCACCGGCCCTACTACACCGACAGTAATTCCCAAGCCGCCCTTAAGGAATGAGGGGAGCACGTGACCCGGTGGGGGGGGCAGGGGAGGGGGCGGGCGGACTCTGAGCCATTTTGGAGCCGGTGTCAGTTTCCACTCTGCCTTCAGCGGTGCATTTTTTTCCACCCTCCCCTCCCCCTCCTCATCCTTCTTCCCCTCCCCCCGCCCCTCGGCTCGCACATACACAGCGCCCCCCACCCGCCCTCCTCTTCCAATAGCAATATGAAATAATAATCGTAGTATTAAAGGCAGAGATCCGGGCGAGACAATGGGGATGTTGGCGAGGGAGCCCCGATCCGGATTAGAAACACCTCCCAGCCCCGCAGAATAATACTGATCGCGCCCCCTCCGCGCGCTCCCTCCCCCGAGTGCGGAGCGGGAGGAGGCGGCGGCGGCCGAAGAGGAGGAGGAGGAGGCCAAGGAGGAGGCGTTGGAGGCCGAGGAGGAGGAGGCCGAGGCGGAGGAGGAGGAGGCCGAGGCAGAGGAGGAGGAGGAGGCCGGGCTCCGGAGGCGGCATGAGCCGAGCGCGGCGGCCGCGGCTCCTCTCGGCTGCGCTCGTTGCCCATTGACAGCGGCGTCTGCAGCTTGCTTCAAGATGGCCGCTTGGCTCACATTCATTTTCTGCTGAACGACTTTTAACTTTCATTGTCTTTTCCGCCCGCTTCGATCGCCTCTCGCCGGCTGCTTTTTCCGGGTACGTAAGAGGCGAGGCGCCTCCAGGCCTGGGCCGGGGGCCGGCTGGGGCCGCGCGGGGCTGGAGCCGGCCGCGGGTGGACCGGGAGCGACCCCCCCCCCGCGCCTCGCCCCGCCGGCCAGGAGGGCGCTGACAGCGTGGGCGCCGAGCCCCGCGCCGCCGCCCGCCGCCGCCGCCCTCCAGCCCCGCGCGCCTCCCGCGCCCGCGAGCACGCGCCCGCGCCGCCCGCCGACTCCCGCGGCGCCGGGACCGACCCGCAGCCCGCGCCGCGCCGCCAGCCGGGCTCGGCGCCGCTCCAGCCGCCTCCCGCTCAGCCCCGGACGCGCTGCGCGCGGCCCCACGTTTTAGTTCCTTTCTCCCCTCAGCGCCCCTTTACACCCTCGCGATGCACATGGCCCCCGAGAAGAACACTTCTATTTGCAGCCTCTGCGGCTCTCGCGGCCACGGCGCCCTTTGTTGAGAGGTATATTTTGATGAAACGGGGACGGGTTCCTGAAATCGGGAGCTGCTTGGGTCAAGTGGCTTCCCTCCTCTCCCGAAGAAAGGGCTTTTGAGGGGTTTAAACAACCAGAGAACGCCCCCATTTTATAGGGACGGGTTGCGTGGGGGGCAGCGGTTCCGCCAAGGTAGATGTTAGACTGGGGAGAGCCGAAATAAAAATGTTATTAACTTAAGTTGGAGGGACACTTGTGTGAAATTGGATGGCTTGTAAGATGGCGGTTCCCAGTTGTTTCCAAGGTCTTCTGCATTTGTGTTTTAAATGGTAAAGTTTTCAAGGTGTTATTTGTTACCAGTCTTGAGTAAGTTCTTTGAACATCACTTGGGAAGTGCTCCCTGGGAAGTGGCCATTTCAAATTTGGAGCTTTTTTTTTTGGACTGATGATGGTGACTGGACGTTAGTCTTGCAAGAAGGTTTCCTTTCTTTCAAGCTTCTTTTTCCTCTTTCTCCTTTTCCCTTTTGGAAACTACAACTTTTCTCAATCTCTACTATGGGATGCACCTAGAACCATGACCTAAAGTCTAGTGCCTTTTATAGATTTTGCTAAATGCCATCATAGGTCATAATGGCAAAGAGATGCTTTGGAAAAGAAAGCACAAAAAAGTGCTTGGATGTGTTTATGCAGTCTTTTGGGCTTGACAGCTATATAGCATGATCTTTTCTACAGAGATTTACAGTTAATAATTGGAAGTAAACAAGTAGAAAGACTTTGATCATTTCCAATTGCAACAAAAGGATTTAGTGGGCTTAGTAGTCACCTCAAAGTATTTGAAAGAGAAGGATGTGTTAACCCCTTCCCTTAACATAGGCAAAACTCTGGGCATAGTTTTTCAAATCCGACTGTAGGTTGATGGTACCTGGAATGTTATGAATAGTTCAACTTATTCCTTAACCCCCAAGTTCTGGAAACACATGATAAGCTATATTAAATACTTGGAACTTAGAGATGCAAATTATTGACAGTATATACTAACTTATGAGACTATGTTAACATTTGAGTTTTAAGTAAACTGATCAGAATCCTTTAGAGGTTGATTTTATGAGCAAATGTATAAATGTTTCATACTTGAGTACATTCCTATACTTCTGCCCCAGAATGCAAGTGTTTGAAATAATCTACTTGTGCAAGTTATACATCTAGTAACAGTATCTTTAAAGCCATGCAAAAGTCACTGTATGTGCATGTGTGTGTATGCACACACACACTTTTGTAAGATAGTTTAGCATTTCATTGTTATTGATAAATCAGTTAAGATTCTACCAAGTTCTTGGATGTGCATTAAGTGCCCAAATAGGCAAAAATTCTCCCTAGGAGCCAAGTTAACCCCTGCTTCACCCATACTTGTATTGAGCTGTGAGCCTCAACTGAGGTTATGAAGTTCATTTGCATTTCTTAGATTGCAATAGTCGAGCTGATTGTTAACATAAGGACTTGCTTCTGTTTTCCTTCATTTTGACATTACTGGTGTCAGGCCTCCAACCAAATTGACAGCCCCAACTAAGTACGCTATAATGGCAAGATTTAACTATTGAGTATTTTTACCATTGTATGTTTGGTGCATCTTTGCTTGATTAGCTGGCAGTGTCTGTGTTTGAACCTAAAAGGTTTTCATTTCTAAGGTGCAAGTGTTTAAACCTTATCAACATGTTAAATGTTTTCATTTTTCACTAAGCCGCCAGTACTTTCAAATGGAATAAAAAAGACAAAGAGCTGGTTTTTATATAGTAACAAAGTGATACTATTTAGCATTATAAATGATAATAAAGTTGTAGCCAAATTCTTTTGAATTTAGGTTGAGGAGTTGTATGAATTAAGATTTAGTATGAATTTGAAAGGATTTTGGTCAAGTACATGTGACCTAAATGTTTAAAGCCAACCCTCCACTGAGATTTGATTGTTTTGTGTATTAACATTTGTATTTGGTGTTGGTTTTCTAGCAAGTAGAGAAGGAAAGGCAGCTCTTTTTACTGAAGCCCCTAACTTCAACTTCATGATCGGTGACATTAGTGTGGTATGCTTTCACAGGCAGATGGAAGTATATACTTTCTAGGAAAGGTCCTGCAGTGTCCCAAGGAGAGTCTTTAACAGCCAAGAACGTTTGTCTTTAATCATCAAATACAGTGGATTTAAATATTGCTACTCTTTACGGACACTGCTCTACCCACAACTTCTCTGCAACCCCACTTAGATTTGTATCAACAATATGTTGGAAAATTCTTCTAAGCAGGTAACCCAGAGATAACCGAGGAGTCAAACATGAAGCTTTCTGGGTGAAGTTGCTGGTTGCCATTGTAGGCACTTTCATAAAAGAGGTTTTGTTTTGTATTTTATCATTTTGTAGTACTCCAAAGCATTTAGTTTCAGCTATTGAAGTATGTTGGTTGCTATTTTCCTCTTCCACGGTAAAATTTCCTAAGAATTAAAACCTCAGATACTTCAAGTTTCACAAGCTCCCAGATTCCTATTCGAGGCACCTTTGAGAATGTACTTCAGACAGGTCTAGAAGCTTAGTCTTATTTTATGTTCTGAAATGAAGTGGGAGTAAGAAATGTTATTTTTCAAGACTACTACACGAAGTAATTGACTTTCTGGATTATACACTGGTGTATGGTTACTGACAGTGACCTTTTATAACATATACTATCTGTTGGGAATGTCATTTCATCGTGTGGGGGTCTCAATGGAGTTTAGGCTAAAAAGAAAAAAAGACATTTGTTTTTCTCTCCTATGCTTGCTGTGGGTTGACAAGGTGTTGATTTAGCCTTGGGAATGGGTTGGTCACATGGTTCTTGACATATTGTCACTATTTTACCTATTAAAGTAGTTTTTCTTGCATCCAGCATAGCTCAAATAAAATACAGGGTTTTGTCCCCTTCTTCTTGTAAAACAGATTTTAGTTTTCACCCTTTCTAAAACTTTATCGCTCATCATGTACAGCAGAACTTCATATTAAAGAAAAAAGTTTTAAAGAAGTTCAGTTCAATAAACATCTTTGCAATTTAAGCCCTGAGGGTTTGAGGGTTTAAGTGCACCGTTGGCAATTCTCAAAA